GTAGACTAAAAAGGGTGGCTGCAAGTAAAAAAACAAACATGTTGGCTATCATAGGGTGAAGGATAAAATTAAAGAAAAACTTTATAAATGTAAGAAGTTTAAATTAACTGCAATGTTGAGAGGTTTGGAGGATTACAGAAGATCAAAAGAGTTGGTCAAATATGAAAATAAAGTGTTTGAAAAAAAAAAAGTTGGCTGAAAATGTAAAAAGTAATAGTAGGGATTTCTTCAAATACATTGAAGCAAAATGTTAGCATGGGTGTAGGGCATTGGTGTGGGAATAGTGTATGCTGCAAACATGCAACTGTCACTGATTAATTGTTAGCTATAAGCAGGCAGTCAGATTCAGCTGATTATCCATCATTAGTAAAAAATCTTATATTCAAAACAACACATCTTAGTCTGTACATTCATAATTATGCAGAATCAGGATGTGGGAATTTTACCAGATATTTTCTTGCTGTTGCAAAAGAAAAGTTGACTCCAAGTGAATGGAGAAGTGGCATCTGTACTTGTGCTTACTGAGCCACAGATGATAAAATTAATAAGCAAACTTTTCTAACTTTTTCATTAGAGAATAAACTATACTTACTTAAAGATTAAGTCATTAACATAAATTATATTCAATTAAAACTTTTTGCTGATGTACTAACTGTATATCATGCCTCTAAGCCTAAGGAAACAGCACAAACAAGATACATAATTCTAACCTAATGATGAAGAAAGGTTACATTATGTTACAAATAGATTGGTTCAGTTTTAATAATGTAATACAGATTTCTACTAAAAACTGACCCATATCTTACCTGTTTCATCCTTTGGCACTTGCACAGCTCTACTGCTCCCAACTATGGTTTCTTTTTGTTTGGGTGAGCATGGAATGTTGTCAGAGGGAGGAGATGACAGGTCTAATGGTGCATCTGAAAGATTATTTTTTATTAATTTATTTCAAAGCATATTATATGTGAGCTTTTATCCTATCCAGTATTCTTAACTTAAATGTCAAGCCTTTTTGTTATTCTTCTTGAAATTCAACAGTTTTGAATGTTAACAGTTACGAAAGACAAGCTAATTTCAACAACAGCTATCATATTTTGAATCCAAGTACCTTTAAACTTCTCCTGTAATTGGTTATTATAAAAAAAAAATCAAAACAATTATTTTACATTATATTTCCAATTTATACACATATATAAGAGCTATTAGTCAAATGTCTGGAATAAGTAACTAAACTTTTTTTGTGGATAAATTATAAGAAAAAAGAAAGAAAAACTATCTAAACAACAGCTACAAACAGTACTTGTTATTATGGTACTTGGTCTTATTACCTTTGCTCCTGCAGGGGTCAAGGGTATTGCATTTGGATCCATATTTATGTAAATGAGTGTATCTCGAATAATAATAAACTGATTTTCAGGAGATACAGTATCCCCCTACGACAGTATTTTCCAAATCTGGTCCGGATCCAGAATCGGATCACTTTAAAACATTTTTATAATGGAGATATATGGCATTTTCTCAGCTTGTTGATAATAACTGTGTAAAAAGTGATCGGATTAGGATCGAATTTCGGGCACACATTGAAAACGCAAAATTCAAAAGTTTGTGGTGGGGCAAGGGTATACAATCTCTCAGATTATTCTTGTTTTTATAGTTTTGCTAAAAAATACATGCAAATCTTGCCTGAAGTGTCATGGGACAGAACTATGCCTTTGCATCCATAATAAAACAGATCTTTTATGCTATAATATAAACTCATATTTTCTGTTTTGAATTTCGTGCAAAGCTACACAAGGGCTATCTGCACTAGCCATCCCTAATTTAGCAGTGTAAGACTAGATGGAAGGCAGCTAGTCAACACCACCCACTGCCAGCTCTTGGGCTACTATTTCATTAATGAATAGTGGGATTCACCGTAACATTATAATGCCTCTACAGCTGAAATGGCGAGCATGTTTGGCGAGATGGGGATTTGAACCCACGACCCTCAGATTGCAAGTTAAGCCCCCTAATCACCTGGCCATGTCAGGCCAAACCTATGGCATGGTGGTAAATGTCATTTCAAATCACAGATTATCTCATATTTAATATTCTGAAATACAAGAAGATAACAGAGGTGTAATACAGTCACTATTAAACCCTGCGGGTTATTCTAACCTACTTGAAATCTTGTGCAATAGATGATACTCAGCAGCAACAGAAAATGACCCTTAATCACGAAGTTAACTTATTTTACATAAAGTGTAACATTCAAATGTTTAGCTCTTATTTAATGGCAATATTAAGTTTTACTCCTCATGTACTTCTCAGATTAAAAAGAGTTTACTTTATGTTAATAATTAATTTTTATTAAAGAAGCAAGTTTCCCTTCCTACTCTGATATTCACATTTTTTATCTTTGGCTGAAGAGAAAACTAAAACTAATAATACATGGGTTATAGTTAAAACCTTAAAGACTATCAAACTCTTGAGTTTTCTTAAACTCGTAAGCTGTAGGTTATGTAAACTCTCTTGCTACGGGTTCAAACAAGTTCATAACCTTAAATTGATCATTAGTTTCAATACCAGACTTTTTAATTTGTTTTGTGTATTTTGACACAATTTCACAAGCTTTCAGTAAACATACAAGTCTTAGAATTAAAATCATAATTTTTAACAAAGTTTTTACCAAAACTTTCTCCATAAATATATGGAGTCAAAGGTTGATTACTCTGAGTGCAAAGTGATTTTCATTTTAAAAATACTTTTCTCCATCTGAAAAATTTTGAATTTTGTTTGTGTAACCTCTAAAACTTAAATAAATATCAAACGTTTTCTCAGTAAAACTTTGTATTTTATCTGATATTTCCTCTATTCTATCTATATATGCATTCTGTCAATTTAACCAACCTCTTAACCACCAGAAAAAATACAAAAATCTAAATTACTCTTTTCTCTTTCTAGAATAACAGCAAAATGTAACAGGAAAATACCGTTGTTTATCCTTAATAGCTTAAAGCTCTTGAGAGTATACATCTGTTTCTACTTATATTTGTTTTATTGTCCTTTGAACTATGTCTAACTAATAATCCAACCACATAAGCTGTAAATTACTCAGCGAACATGAAGCTCACTTTACCTTATCAAAGTATGTAACGCACAAGCTACTTACAAAGCATACCTCATGAAGAATTTTTGTTACTTTTTCTTTATCTTACATAAGAAGTTTCTAATTTTTTATACATTTTAGTTAATTTTATAATAATAAATAAAAAATAAACATGAAAAACAAGAAATATAGTACTTACCTGAATCTTTTTTTTTTTGCTATTGACTGTCGATGAAACTTGAGCCTACTTTTTTTATACTAATGGTACTACTACACTAGATAATCTTTTATTTGATCAAATAATGCACCTAAGAACAGAATAATAACACACAAAATGCAAACAATGTCCTATAACTATTATAAGTTTTCTGGCTTTCTAACTATGTGATAAAAGCCTTTAAAATTTCAGCTAAGCTACAAGATATGATTCCTGTGGAAACAAATTTGATATTGAACCAGGAAATATATAACTCTCTGTACAGAAAACAATGTAATATAATATGTCATTTGATATATTAAAACTATGGCTTTCTACTGGTTATAAATAATATAGCATTAAACTTCAGAGAGAACTATTGGCAATTTGTGAAAAAGAGGATGTGACAGGTAGGTGTTGTAGGAGGGGTCTGATTTTCTAGCTTATGGCTTTGTAAATAAATAAAATTGAACGCTATAAAAATTATGCTTTGCCTGAGTAATACCTATATTATAATGAGTAATTTATGATCAATTCGATACTTCTCAGAGAGGTAGTAAATAAATTAGAGAAGGGGGAAGGCCTAGAGGGCAAATGTCACAACTCTCATACTAGGGAAGATTGAGGATTTTTAAAAATATTTCCATATAAAATTAAGAGTTAAAACTTATATTAAAATTTGATTTATTAATTATGTTTTAATGCCAAGTTCATTTCTATACAATGGTAATAAAGTAGTTTAATTAAATTTTGAATGTAACTTTCTAAAAAGTCAAGACACAAACACTTTGACCTACGTGTTGTGAGAGGGTTAAGTACTTTTTTCAACATAAATAATTTAAAAAAATCCTGCATATGGATGAATCACTAGCTTGCTTATTTCAACTGAACATAGTTTAATAAGTAATTACAGAAGTGGTGTTTAATGTAAACAACAGTTATTACAGATAAGCTTTAACGTTAACATTTGCAGCAGATTAAAAATATTAGTAAAAATCTCAATCTGGAAAATGAATTTGAAAAAAACAGTTTAACTTCTTAAACCCAAGCAGATGGTGACAGCGTCCAATAACATTTATGCCTCTATGGCTGAAAACTAATCAAAACCATGTTATCCATCTTTTATAAACAGATCAGAAATTTTACAAGGTATGGTGATAATTATAAGGACATCATGAAAATAATTCTGGCAGAATGTGCAAACAATTATGGACTGAAAAAGATAATAAAACAAAAATACTGTATTCATTTTTGTAAATGAGCTTGGAGTGAATACTTGAAGCCTAAACTTTCTCAGTTCAACCACTATCCATCCAACTATAAGAAATTTTCATTTGTTTGGTCATTCTTTCTTAAGAATATTTGCATATAATTGTTGTTTACATAAAAAGTATCAAGAAGTTGTCACTACTTTAAATACTTTATATTATGGACTATTTCAATCAATCACCATATTGTAGGTTTTGAGGTAGGCCTAAGAGGTACTGAAATCATATCATCATGATGAGATGGTATGACAGAACTAAACTGATGAGGTTAATATTTAGCCCATACATTTATAAAAATTTGAATAAAACCTCCAATACTATATATCATAAACAAAGATTAATTACTTTAAAAAAAATGAAATTTAAGTTTTCACTTTACATAGGAAAAGTTTAACAAGTTTACATTAAGTTTGATGGCAGCTGCAGAAGAAGAACTGAAACCTAGTTTCTAATAGAAGGTGTTCAGAGTACCAACTTGTTTGTTCTAAGAGCGAAGATGTGCTGCACAATATGCACTCTAGGGATTAATCCTTGAATTTTGCTGTTATAAACCCATTATGAACTGGGTTCTGTACAATAATTTAAAACCTACCATTTCATGACTGAAACAGATGTAAAATGTGTTAAAAAACAGTAGTAACCATGACTTATGAACATTGATTGGTAATCAGTTTCCATATAGGCCTAAGTGGTAAAGGAATTTTACACTATTCATGATGGATATTTATGACAACAACAACTATAATTGTTTTAACTTACATCACTATCTGTGTTTTTCACTACTATTTTTTTCAGCTGTATGTATCATCTACACTCAGAACTGCAAACAAAGATGAATGTGATGTACGCACCTATACCATTTTTTTCTAGCAACTTTTAATAAACTGATCAAAAACGACTTTGTGATGATTAGGCCTAAATTTGTTGTCATTAATTCATAAACATACTTTTCCTTAGCAATAAACTTGGCCTGAGTCTTATTTTAAATACATAATGTCTCTGCATAGGTTTATAATTTTCAATTGATGATCTAATTACTGCTAAATATCAGAAAGGAAAACAAAAGTGCAAAATATAGTTTTGATTCAAACATTTTTTTTAAAGGAAAAAAAAAAAGCCCACTGTCAGGATAAACAAAGTAGTCATTTTGACATCACATTATGTTTTTCGCTTGCTAGAGGGACGAGGAGGGGGAGATAGCCTCATACTAGATTTATCCGTACAAATAAAACATTAAGAAAGATTTACTTTCTAGTTTGTACATTAAAAACAGCTTTAATGACATGCAAGTTAAAAATAATGATTCTGTCATATCTACCATACCCGATGCTTCTGTGGGGGTTACTGCACCATTCCAAGACACTTGAGATAAATTGTAAGCATATGGATAGTATGAATAGATGTGTGGATACAAGGGAATGTATGATGTTAAATCTGTTGGTCTATTGGTAACCCATGCTGGAATTTCCTTTTCTTTTGATGAAGGAGAACTGGTGACATCCTCCATGTTTTTCAGTTTTATAGGAGAATTCTTCTGACTGAAATAGTTTACCTCTGCAAAATTATCACAACAGAATACAGGTTATGTGAATTTACTTAAAAACCATGAATGTCCTATTTAAAATTGTCACTTAAGACTTTACCTACAGAAAGATCAAATATTTTACTTATATCATAAAAAAATTACAGCATTCTTTTTGATGGATCAATGAATCATAAAAGGATAGGGTAAAGCTAATTTGTGATTTTTTGTAATATTTGTTGAATTTAAAAAAAAAAAAATATTACTATCAGGCCTAATCTATGGAATAATGGGAAACATTCATTTGGAAGTTATGTCTGTTTAATACTTTGAGATTTTATTTTTGTTTTTATTCCAGAATTTTGCACAAATTTTAAATTGACAGACAAAAAAGAAGCAGCTTGTCAACAACTCCCACCACCAACACTTAAGCTACTCTTCTATGACCAAATAGTGGGATTTGACTGTCACTTTTATAGGGCATCCACAGCCCAGCATGTGTCTTTTGCAGTAAAGGGTTGCAAACCATGAATCCTTGGATTTACAGTCTGGGCACAGTAATCACTAGGCCATGCCTGGCTTACAATGAGAACTAAAAATATATGTGAGCTTTATTATGTGACATATCATAAGAAAATCAATTTTACATAAAATTAAAGAGAAAAAAATCATTTCAGTTCAACCATTATACACTCTGAAATTAAATGTACTTTAGAATAAAATTTCATCAAATCAAACTAAATAAAATATACATAATGGATAATTAAATATATAAAAATATTCTCAACATATTCTTTGTGTTATTCAAAAAATGCTCTGACCTACATAGATCATTCTCTCATAACTGAAATCCTTGACAGCACAAGTGTGGGTTGGAACTTTCCAATCTTAGCAGAAGTCTAAAGGGATTGGGTTTAGATCATTTTTCACAATAAAGACAAGCATTTGTTTAATCCAGAAAAACATGAAAAACCACCTTTTGGATTTTGTGGGTTAGACCACTTTTGCATAAAAGTGTCCAATTATGCTTAAACATAGCCATACATTCAAAAGCAGACAATTAAGAATATATCCTCAAATCAGTTACCTTTTCTCATATGTACTGTTTTTGCCTTTTGTGGGTCAGTGTTTTAGAAAAGGTAGTGGATGTTACTTTACGGTGCAAGTCTGCTAAGTGGATGTTACTTTACGGTGCAAGTCTGCTAAGTGGATGTTATTTTATGGTGTAAGTCTGCTAAGTGGATGTTATTTTATGGTGTAAGTCTGCTAAGTGGATGATATTTATGGTGTAAGTCTGCTAAGTGGATGTTATTTTATGGTGTAAGTCTGCTAAGTGGATATTAGTTTACAGTGTAAGTCTGCTGTGTGAATGTTACTTTATGGGGCAAGTCTGCTGTGTGAATGTTACTTTATGGGGCAAGTCTGCTGTGTGAATGTTACTTTATGGGGCAAGTCTGCTGTGTGGATGTTACTTTATGGGGCAAGTCTGCTGTGTGGATGTTACTTTATGGGGCAAGTCTGCTGTGTGGATGATACTTTATGGGGCAGTCTGCTGTGTGGATGTTACTTTATGGGGCAAGTCTGCTGTGTGGATGTTACTTTATGGGGCAAGTCTGCTGTGTGGATGTTACTTTATGGGGTAAGTCTACTCATTAAATCCACAACACTGCTAACAATCAGTAACTAAGCTATAACTGTACATATTTTTTTAGTTTAAGATTAAACATTTGCATATAACTTTTAAGGTCTAAAAAAAACTAGAAATCAATCTACCTGTAGAAGCAGACACCCCATTTACATTCTCAACACAATTTGCTGGATAAGGATAAGCCATATTGTAGATTGGCATGGACAGGTAAGTTAGACCAGAATGTTGTTCTTGGTAGCTTGTTAAAGAAGCAACTGTTGCATCAGACTTTTCCCATGTGTGAGTTGGAGACAAGATGTCTGGATTTGCACTGAAACTAGTCCATGTAGCACTTCCAGGATGTAAAGTGTTTGTGGCACTACTGATTACTGGGGGTAATGTTAATGGCTTGGCATTGATGCTAGTCCACTTGTTGTCTGCCGAGTGTTGTTTACTGATACCACCCACAGGAGAAGAGGTCAAAGACTTGAAGGAGGACACAGATGGACGTACATCAGGTGAAGAAAAAGAAGAACGTTTAATCTGTTTGGAAGACCGACGTGTGTTGAGCCCAGGGGGATGTGACAGAGTTTCATCTGGCCATGACGAGGATAATTGTTTTTGCTTATGACTACAACTGTTTAGCTTTCCATCAGTTTGACAGTTAGTCTCTACTGCATGCAGTTTGTTCACAGAAGGCTGCGATGATTTTATGGACAAATCTAGTGGCACTTCTACTGAAACAGAAATATTCATTGAAAATCAAAATCCACTTGTAGTGTATTTGATAAAAAGCACTGATATATATCTTGAATATAATCACATACTTTTTATTTTAAGCTGTTTAGAAAGAACTCACAAAAACCAACTTCACTCACTACATTACAGCAAAAAATTCAAAAACAAAGAAGCAATGAAACATAACATTTTGGCTTCTATGGGACCTGTTATTTTTAAGCATCAGGTGTGTAAAAATCTATTAGTAAGAAGCCTGGGTCTAGAGTTGTTCTGTTACTGAAATTTTTGTAAGATCTTTAGCCTGTTTATTGAAGATAAGCTAACTGATTGTTAGAATGAGATAAAACATGCATAAGCCAGTTACTAATTTGCATATTAAAATGTTCAATTATTTAAGTTTCATATTTCAAGCACATTCTTATCCACATAATAATTTTTGGGGGAGTAGAATGGTTATTTTTTAATGCAAAAACTTATTAGTACGAGATTAAACAGCTGTGTTTGGGCAAAAAGACTTGGTCCACCCACATGGAACTCTGCAGCATTTTTTTCTAGGTAAGACAAAATATGGTGAGGTGTTTCAAATGTCAGAGCCCTGTGTGGTTGTTTAGATTTTATTGTGCATGAAAATTGGATAACTTGCCCAGAGATTTCACATTTGTGTCACCTAAGCAGCACTAAATTGTATTATTTTTAGTTTTGTATTACTTTGAAAAAAGTTATTGCAATGAATATTATATGTATATATATTGGCAAAATGTAATAACTTAGTCATTATAGTGAAAAAAAAAAGATAAAAAGAAAATTGGGCTAGTTGCAACTAGAATTTCAGTTTGAAATAGTATATGTTTCTCATGCTTACTATTCCATGGTTTGTAAAAGGGTTGGGAATTATTGGAATTTAATAACTGATTAATTGTTTGTGCTTATAATTCTAATCTAACATTCTCATACAAGATTTTGATAGTTGTAGTAGTTAAAAATAGTAATAATTAGAAACATTACATTCAATTAGTTGATTTTTTTATGTGACAGTAATTGATGCTCACAGGTAATCTATTAATTGAGTCAAGTACTCAGCTCTAGTTAGTATATCAAAAGCGTTTTACACTAAAACTTATATTTCTAAAGGTTTTTTTTCCTCATTTCAAAGACTGACACCACCACAAGATTTAACATCTAAAGATACATAGTTTTCATTTAACATTCAAACTAAAGCATAATACGAAAGAAATTGAGAATGTAAAAGATAGGCTCTTAAAAAATCTGAAAATTTGAATGGAATTAGCTCCTTATACAGTTCAAACATACTAATTTATATTTGGCTCACAAAACTTGCCAAAAAATTTCTCCTCCGTTTACCTTAGTACAGTATTTTCCAAACTTTTAATAGCGGTGCCCCTCTAACTCAGTAAAGTTTTGTTGCACCCCCCCTTCACAATAAAATAATTTTCTCATGTGATAACAGCAAAATCAACATTTTCTTTACCTGTCTTTAATAAATTTTTTAAAATAACAAAATGATTGTAAGGAGTGAGTTAAAACGAGAGCAAAGTGATAGTTTTGTTAGGTTATCATCACCTCCAATTATCTTGTTTTTGCCATCGTTATTTTTGGCTTCTCCCACCAAAAAGCTGCACCCCCTCAGCAACCAGTATATACTCCCCCAGGGAAAGTGCACCTCACAGTTTGGAAAACACTGCATTAGTAAACTGAGTTTTATCTTAAAAAGAAGCATAATCTGATTTTTCTATTAAAATATCAGGCCTTTTACCAGCACCTTTAGACAAAAATATAGGTTTTTCTAATAAAACAAGTTATGTTTTTATAGGCCCCCTAATTTTCCTAAATACAGTTCTTGGTCTACAAATCAAAGTCAGGAATTTGTATATGTTCAGAGGCCAGTTGGGCTGCTTTAAAAAACATATTTGTGATATACTTTAATAGTGTGACAATATGAACTACTTAAGGTGGGTCTTATAGTTCTTTTTAAGACCTTTAAGTCATTTTTAGAGGGGGGATGGAGGTTGGGGTAACATATGGTAGAGTTATTGGAGTGGTATTTATTCTACTTTAAGGATTTTTTAGAACTTTTAAGGGTGGAGGATGGTAGGCATTGTTTAGTAAAAATATATTTTTTTGGGTGGCTTGATTTTATCTTATTTCTACTTTTAACTTTATTACATCTTTTTAAGGGTAACTGCCTTCCCACAACTGGCTGCAGACAGTGTAAGGCAGTAAGACTTGAGACGTTGTGGGTATAAGCACTCAATTCTGTACCCTTAATGAATTTTCCACAACTGCCGACTGGTTTCTCATCTGCTTTCTGGATTTTGTCTGATAGATGGGATATCCCTAATGCTTTTGGGTGCTATTACCACAGGCAATCTCCATTACAACTTTTGGATAACGATAGGAAAGTGCAAAGGTTTTTTTGTTTTTTAAATAGAGTTTTGAACCTATATTAAGTTCATTATTGTTTTATAGTGCTGATTGTGATCACCTATTGACAATTAATATAACTGATATAATGGTTTTGAAGTTATACCTCTTATTATATATATATACACACACACATACATATGATGGGAAAGGATAGAGACTATGGTCCCAGGAACTTTAACTGCCACAAAATAATTTTGGTATTGGCATACACAAAACCATAATAGACTAATAAACTTGACAAAATAAAAATATATACATTTATAGTCTATATAGATATTTTATTACACCTATGTAAAATATATATATATATAAAAAAAAAAGGCTGCCTTATAAAATACAGGCTTCTCGTACGTTTTAAAGCTAAAAAACTATAGAACTCACCAAAAGGTCTGAAACTTACCTTTTTTTTTATAAAAATAAGATACACTTATAGCTCTTCACACCAGGTTTTAACCTTTTTGATACAGTTGAACATTTATAACAATGCACCATTGATAAATACTTATTAAATATATTCATTTTTAATATACAATTTCTTTATCTATAAAATATTTAATTTCATACTTGTGATAAAACTATGTTGGTAAAATAATACAGATAAGCATACTACTGATGATGGACAAATACTTCTTTTCAGAAACATCAATCATTACATCAACAAGTTCTTTATGAGTTTCACCGTCAAAACTAAATTACTTTATGTAGTGTAAAATTCTAAATTAAATGTAGTGCAAAACTACAAACTAAATATAAAATCTGTGTGGAGAAACAAGCACATTGTTGTAAGGTGTAACTCCAGACTACCCGCTGTTCATAACTCTAGATTACATGTCGTGTGAAAATGTGTGGGAAGAAATGAGTACGTTGTTGTAAAGTGTAACTTCAGATTGTGCAGAAAACTGTCCATACAATCTTTTGGCATATAAATACAGACTACAATAGAAACCTAAAATGTAAAACTACCCAATCATTACAATGTTAAACCAGAGACTACTTAAGTAATTTGTAGTGTAAAGCTAACACATAGCTTTAGTGTACAAGTAAATATTACTTACTTAGAAAATAAATGATTACTTACAATATACTCTTGTAATTACAATTCAAATACACACTGAAATAACAGCAAAAACAAAACTTTGACATAAGAAACATATATGACTGTCTAAAAATTTTCAAAATAACACATTCTATTAACTCAATGACTAGGGTATTCATCACTGTTTTTACCAAGTTTTCATTCAGAATTTTAGAGAAATAGCAACATATGAACTTTTATGACATCTTTTGTTAGTCTGAGAAAATTTACTTGAAATTATTTATCAAAATGGGAAAATTTGATTTGAGCTACTTTTTTTTTTTTTTTTTTATTAAGAATTTATCTTATTACACGACAACTACTCCTTCCTGAATATAAGTTTTGTTTTGGAATAATTTTCCCATCAATACTTTTTTGACTTTGACTTCCTTCACAGTTTTAATGACATAGCCACTATGGCTATTTGTTTGATGAACCAAACAATGGACAACAAAATCTCTAATAGGTAACCACTATGAAAAAATTTAATGCAGTGATAAGAATGACCTTGCTTTGCACATATTTGTTAGTATTAATACATATTCTGAGTAGAATGAAGTAAATGTACATGAATATATGATTCTCTGATTTTTTTTTTACACAAGTGATAGACAGCAGACATTATGATCAGTAGACTAACCTTGCTTTACATTGCTGAGCTTGTATGAACTTGACAACAAATGTTTGTACCCGGTTTTATCCGTTGCCTCTAAAACAGTTTTCAACATAGACGGATATGAAATAGGCACTGAACACTCAATCTGTTGGGACACATCAGTACAGTTAACCTGAGAAAAAGGTCTCTTCACTTCTTCAAGGGTATTAAATTTTTGAGGATCCTGCTTATGGCAGGAACTGTAAAAGGGAATCTTCCTCCCCTCAATATTGTGAGTAGGATGGGAACATGGAGATACTGGTTCTGGTTTAATACAAAGGTCATCCTTCACTGAACATAGCTCACTAGGTCCCAGTATTTTTTTTGTACTACACTTGTCGGTGGGACTCTGAAGAGGGGAAATATCACTGTCGCTTGGGTCTGAACATACACCAGAAAAAGGAGACAGGGTTCCATCGTATGGAGTGGCTCTACCACGGTGTCTCCATTCACTGAGTGCTGGTGATTGTGGTGAATGAACAGGTGCTCCAAAGCTTTCCTCTGGCCACACAATAGCAAAATCATTTTTAAGTTTAGCTTTTTTACTGAAGCCTCCTTCCACCTCCTGAAGATCAGCACCATCAACAGTTCTGCTGTCCTCATACAGCTCAACATATTTCTTTTTACACTGTCCTGCACTGCATGGAAATGGAACTTTGGGGGTGTCTACAGATGGAACCCATTGGCACTGATGTCCATTAGTATTAGCATGTTGTTGGGCATTAAGTTTCAGAACCAGTTTTCCATCTAAATTAGAATATTTTAGCAATTAAACAAAGTTACATTAATCTGGTACAAATATTTACAGTTGATAAGCTGTGTAAGTTGTATGTTAAATTTAACAAGTAGTTGCAGGCAAATTTACTACTACAGCTAAAATATCCATCACAGCAAAAACTCTAGACTGATGCAGTATTTAAGCACACATATAAACAAATCTAATTTGCTCAAATAATAAAAGCAGGAAATACTCTGTCAAAGATGACACAAATAAGGCCTTATTTTTGATAAAACAATTAAGAAAGTGAAAATACACACAATCTTTTATTACTCCATCAAAATTCAAACACTTTTAACACCAAATGTATTAATTACAGTACAATACATATTGTTGATTTACACAAAGTAGCTGAACCTCATGAAGCCAGGTGAAATTATCAAAACTATGTACACGTTGTAAACTTTCTTTACTCTGTTTATTTTGGAATAAAATTATGTCAATCAAATAGTTATTTGCTTGATATATATATACATTTCACTTAACACTCTAGTTATGGACTCGCCCAAATCAACCAAGTTCGTAACTCCAAATTTAACTTTATAGTTTCCATATTACAGGATGTACTTCTGCATGGTACCCGAAAGTGATGTCTCAAGCGTAAATAAAACCAAAATTAAGAGTAACAAATAATTTCCTTTTCTGCTTTTTAAGTTCATATGTCATGCTGTGTTGGAGCATATAGAGTGCATAATTATTCTCATGATTCATAGCATGCGCACATTTTATTGATGTCACTACAGTACGAATTGCAACATTAAGCTTCTCTTATGTGACATCATTTTAGTGTCTACTGACAAACTGACAGACAACACACAATGGTGTAAGTGTTTAAAACAGGTGACCCTTCCAGGTGACTTTCATCCCCCTTTCGGGTAATAACTTCTAGTATGTTTTGTGTGTCTTCATGAAATTTCACAAGCTTTCAGTAAGCATCAAGTCTTTTGTAGACAACAAAAATAATAATTTTTAATGAAGTATTTTCACTAAAAATTTCTCCATGAAAATATGGAGTCAAAGCATTGAATGCTCCGAGTGCAAAGTAATTTTCATGTTAAGATTAAAAATACTTTTCTTCATCTGAAAATTCTCAAATTTCATTTGCATAATCTCTTAAACCTCTAAATAAATTTCAAACATTTTTTTCAGTAAAACTTTATATTTTATCTGTTATTTTCTCTACCTTCACTTTACACCAGGTTGATCAGTTTGACCAACCATGCAACCGCCAAAACAAAAATCTAAATTACCCTTTCTTTCTTTCTATGATGACTTCAAATTGTAATATGAAACTACATTTGTCTATCCTAAATAGTTTAAACACATAACAGTATACATCTGTTTATACTTAAATTTTATTGTTTTATTGCCCTTTGAATCATGTCTAACTAATATTCCCGCCACACTAGTTGTAAATCACTTGACGAACATGTACTTAACATTACCCTATCAAATTACAGTAATGCACAAGCTACTATCCAATTGCTTGCAAGCATACCCCAGGAAAAGTTTTTATTGTCATTATTATTTTTCTTTATATTACCTAGCCTAAAAGTTTCTAATTTTTACAACTTTGTTCTTTTATAATAAAAATAAAGAATACACAAGAAAAACAAAAAATATAGTGTTTACCACTCTTCTTTTCTTTTGCTGTTGATGAAACTTAACCCAACTTTTTTATACTAATGGTACTACTGCACTAAATAATTTTTTATTTAATTAAATAATGTACCAAAGAATGTAGAATAATAACACATACAAAGCAGAAAATGTCCTATAACTATCACAAATTTTATGGCTTTCACATTATGTTACAAGAGTTGTTAAAAATTCAGCTAAGCTCGTCAATGTATTTCCTGTGGGAATAAAGTTTGAACTGATAATTCTCGTTACAGAAAACAGTGTAATAGAATATGTCATTTGATAGATTAAAACTTTGGCTTTCTATTGGTTATAAATAATATAGCATTAAACTTCAGAGAGAACTATTGGCACTTTATGAAAGAGAGGATGTGACAGGTGGGCTTGCAAGAGGAGTCTGATTTTCTAGCTTATGGTTCTGTAACCAAACAAGATTAAAGTCTATAAAAATTATGCTTTGCCTGAGCAATGACAACATTATAATGAGCAATTTACATTAAATTTCATACTTGTTGCAGGGGTGGTAAATAAATTAGATAAGAGGAGATGCCTAGAAAGCAAATGTCATACTTCTTATAATAAGGGAAATTGAGGATTTTTTTTTTAAATATTGCTTTATAAAATTAAGAACCTAAAACTTACATAATATTAAAATATGTATAATTAGTCACATTTTGATGCCAAGTTTATTCATATACCAAGATAATAAAGTACTTTATAATTAAATTGTTAATGTAACTCAGTAAAAACTCAGGACATGCACAGAAAATGATGCCTGTCTGGAAAGAGTTAATGGATAGGATTCCATAACATAACTTTTTGAAAGCATATAACATATACGTAAGTAAGAAAGAACTTACGGAAATAGAACTGAAGGCTTCCAAGAGGTGATGTTTCAAGATCTAGGGTGGCAGTAACTGGCTTTGCCTTCATAGGTTTCACCTCTAGCACTTCAGCAGTTAAAGATGTAGTAGGAAGGTTAGGATGTGAACCTGTTTCATCATCTTGTTTATCATCTGATGGTTCATCAATGCGTTCTTCTGGTATTGAATTATCTGGTTCTTCACTGCTACCACTATCTGGAGAAGTATGAGGATCTCCTAGATCATCACAATCTATTATTTCTTTCTGTTCAGAATTAAAAAAAGGTGCTTTTATTGTTAAGCTAATAAAATACACAATTAATATATTAGGTTGACCCCCACACCAAATAATAACAACCTATCTATTTATAAACAGATTAAATATGCACTGAAAACAAAATCCTGCCACTGTTAAATCCTAGGACACAAAAATATCGAAGTTGCTAAAACTTGAGGTGATTCACTACTGTTTTTCTCACATTTAAAGTACTACTATTCTATCTATTTTTTGTACAGTAAACATTACAAGTATGTTGTATACAAAAAAATCAATTTTTTAAATAAAGTATTTTTACTAAAGATTTGTCTGTGAATTTATGGAGTCTTACAGTTTTCATATTTCATTTAAATAAAAAAGTTTTCGTGCATGGAGCGACATAAATACTATTTGTATTAGCTTCAATACCTTAGATGATCTTAATTGCAAAATTTCTTTCAACAAAGTGGTCTAGCATATGACATCATTAGGCCTACTACAGTATATGTAGGAAAACTGACTTTCAGGTCAATGGTTACATGGGTCCCGAGTAATGATCAAGTAAATAGCTATGTTATGTAATGGTTTTTATTGTATTACAAGTCATAAATTAACAAAAAAAAATTTATATTTTAAAAGGTCCCATTGTTATAATGCCATGTGTTTGAAGTTTCTATATATCAGACATAGTGACTTTTATGAGTTATTAATTTTTTATCACTGCAAGGTCACAAGTAGCATTACACTTGCCAATGGGCTTTAACTCTTTCAACCCGGGCTCAGTCCATAGGACCGACCTCGTAACCATTTTGTGCTTGCTATAGTTTTCATGCTATAACTTTTAAATTAGTAAGTGAGCATTGATGAAATTTGGCACATTATCAATAAACATTACAATGCTTTCATACACAAAATATCTAATTTTTTTATTAAGTCTTAAGGCTTGTAAAGCAATGTTTCTCTCATTTCTCTTTTCACATCTTGCTTATCTATCATGCAAAGTAATTTTCATTTTAACATTAAAAATACTTTTATGCATCATAAAATTTTTGAAATTTCACATGTAAAATCTTTATAATGTCTAAATATTTATAAAATGTTTCTTAAGAACAACTTCATATTTTATCTGTTATTTTCAGTAATTAATCTCTGTACGGGTTCATTACATTTGACTGATCTCACAACCACCATAACAATTAGGAAATAAACATACGTTATGCATCTTTCATTCTAGAATGAACACAAATTATAACACGAAAACATAAATGTTTAGATGAAATAGCTTAAATCTCATAACATTATACACTTATATATATTTATTATATTGACCTTTCACCCATGCCTGACTAACAATACAGAAGTAACAACGACGCTGCTCACATGCACTCATGTTACCATATCAAGCAACATAAAACTGACCTTTGGTCTGTACAAAGTAACCTGTCTTGGCTGTATTTTAGTAGACTAGTATTTTGTAAAATACAGTCACATTTCAATTATTATACATAACATATGTATATAGATTATTGCTATTTTGAAATAAGTTCTTAAACTTATTTTTCTTAAAACATAGTAAAGCAAACAATTATCTCTTCTAGTTACGACCTTTATACTCGGTTACTGCTTGACGTAGGTTGCTACGCCTTTTAAAATTTCATACGTGGAGGATATGAAACAAAATATTTTTTTTTATGTTTTATATATACATTTGAATAACTAAAAAATCATAAATTAGTATATAAGTACCATAGAATTCAACTATAATTTATTAAGCTTAGTAACTAAGATGTATTTGGGTCTCAAAAAATATGAAATTTCTAGCAGACTAAATACCCAAACTACCTCATTGAAATCTTGATTTAAAAGAAAGAAATGACACTAGGTACGTTAGAAACCACTAGGGGGACATTCTGAGCTCCAACTGGTTATTATATGTCATATATAGAAGTAAGTGTTTATAAGGGAGTGTTTCCAAAAATCGACGGAGGTGAGCGGGTGCCACTATGTTTGATTTATTATGTGAGCAATATCTTAGCAAATAGAAAAGATAAGACCTTCTTATTTCATATTCTAGTTGGTCAATATCTGTAATTTGAATTTCTAACTCGTATGATAGACTTAGTATTTTGACTTCACAAACATTTAATTTGAACCAGTGCTGCATTCAACATACCACGTGACACACAAAAAATCAATGTTTATCTAAGTTTTTTAAATATTTACTTTTGAATTAACAAATTGAGTAATATATAGTACTAAAATTTGAATTATAATCTACAGTTTGATACCAAACTTATTGAAATAAATAC